TCGGAAGTTTCGATCCATCAATCTTCACGATGATTCACTACCCTGACCTTGAATGCGCTATCCAAGCTTAGCAACCTTGGTTGAAGTGGGACCTAGAGTTTCTAGATGCACAGTAATGCAGGGCAACAAACAACGTCAGAGGTGTACGCAGCATGTTTTCCTACTAAAGGCCAGAGTTAATTAGTGTTTTCTGCAAACGTAATTGAACGCTAAAGCGGTGACCACATATTAGTGTACCGAATAGTGGGTGCTCCAAATCACCTATGCTGACACTTGGTGCAACTAGCTGCAACACCAACCGCAGTGGTAAGTGCTTGAAACTGAGTGAACAATACAAACGGAAGTAATTTTTCTTCGAGTTTACCAACCTTGTTACTCCTTCCCAAACTCAGCTGTTTCCTCCTCCACGTTGGATAACTTCAAAAACCATTAGATGTTGTCCTTGGCTCCAAGCGCTTCGTTATCTAAGAAGTGTTACTTTGGAATCGATTCATTGTGCTCTCAGACTGTATTTATTTTTACATGGACTTGAGGAGACCGTACATGAGGCAGCGTTCTAGTTTTCATTTTTTCTCAAAGAATGATTGGGCTATAAGTACTCCCATGTTATTTTGTATGCAAGCATGCAATTCGCATTTTACACTAGCATTATTCGGCAGTAGATTTGCTCGATAGTCGCTAAGACAGATGACTCACATATCTTTTGATATTGCATTTTGCGCCCCAACTATGCTACAGGACTTCTCGATCACGTGCACCTTTTACCCGTGATGAATCTACGTTCATGGTACTGGTCGCAACCGCGGACACGGATGCCCCTAACAGATAAATTTGGAATATATGATTGTGGTTTTTCGCCGCCAGCTTTCAAATCAGATAGTCGTCCATCTGCCCGGAAAAGCACTAGACTGCCGTTTTAGTCTGTTTCTCAGCATCAGTAGTGCGCATCCATCAGATCCATCAGGATTCGAACCCACGACCACCAGCTGCTTGCACCGCCAGTCAGCAACTTATGTCACTGGGACACAATGACAGCTTCGGACCGTCATGATTTACAAGGCAACTGTGATGTAGCGAGTATTATCCTCCACTGCCATGCAATTTACGAACGTTGCAGAGGACAGGGTTGACTTCGAAAGACACGATGTCTACTAACAGTAGCTAGGTACGCCATAGGATTTAGAAACTGTTAGGGCGCATCCATCGGATGTGTACTACTGACGATGTCCAACAGGCTGAAACTGCAGTCTAGTGCTTTTCAGGGCATGTGAACCACTATCTGATTTGGGAGCTGGCTGCGAAAAATGTCAATTAAGTATACCAAAATCCCCCTACTCATGAGTACATCAGAATCTGAAATAGATATCGTTTTCAACTCTAATGGTGAATCATCACTGGTTGATTGGATTCCCGTTAGCAGTCGTATATGTGCAACCCGTTTGAAAACGTCAATCAAGGTCAGCGCGCGAAGTAGCGCTAGACGCTATCCATTTGTTACTGCAGCCTGGGAGCCATCAAGGACAATTTTTGCCACTGATTCAGTATGCTGGTTCGCAACGACGTCGGTTTGTATATCGCCCGAACTGTAGGGGATAGGAATGTGCAAATAATGTGTTCGAGCTCTGCAGTAGGTCGGATAAGTGGTACGCTTGGACTCAAATGTGAACGCAGGAACGATGGCTAGAGCTTGTTGCAACTGTGTGCGAAGCACCATATGTGTTTTACCCGCACGCTTTTCGGGCACATAGGTCACCGATCTGTCACATGGTGGCTGTTGGTAGCTGGCCCTTTATGGGCTCAGATAGACCACCTCGCTGTAGGTTTTTGCTGCTGCGATTCCATCCTGGACTGCTGCTCCTTCTACAATACATGCATTAACGCTGATTATGCATTGGGTGAGTGCTGATTTTTCTTGCACTTCACAGGTGAGCATATCAAACGTTTCTTGCAACTGTCAGCTAAGAAGTCATTTCAGCTTGCAGTGATGGAAAGTTATCAGGATGCCATGTGTACCATGATTGCATCTAACTACTCCAAGACAACTGTGGTCAGTGGAATAGTATCTCAGTCGATATACACGATGTGGTCTACCTTCGTTATGACACGATCAATTGCTATCGCACAGGACAATGAGTGTCTGGGAGGTCCGTGAACCTGTTGGTATTCAGGAAACTACCCACTGGCTGTGAGCAGAGTGTAACCAGAAAAACCGCTAGGTGCGGACTTACATGTAGCCTGAATGTTGACAAGGAATCTTGGTGGACGAAAAGGAAGAAAGCAAGAGCAGAAGGCATTTACCACTGACTCTTCTAGTTGATTCGTACCACTGGCCCCAGGGACTTATGCATCAGTGAGGTAGTCAAGGACTGCCGTTGCACCCAATCACAGTAAGGAAAACCGGATGGCCCCTTGGACGGAGCACTTTCGAAAGTAATTCATCTGACCTCCTGTTGTTGGGCCTCTTCCTGTTCAGGTGGTGCAGACTAAGCTATGGACGGTTATTTTACTCGCTTGATTCGAGACCCAGGCCCGAAATCTGACCACAGCCCTCAGACGTTTTCGCGTGGCCGATCCGGATTTTGGTGCATTCTTGCTATTTAAGAATGGACGTGAACTTCTATGAAATGCACTGGCCGACCTGTTCGAACAGGTCTAAAATGAAGAAATCATCTCAATTAAGCAGAGTGGCGATATTTAAGACCGGCAACCACGCCGACCGTGCTACCCACAGGGGTATTAGCCTGACATGAATGGTGACAGAGCTACCGGTCTTAATTCTATTGTCTACAAAGCGTGAATTATGACTGCTAGAATAGCAAGGCGGTTTCCGTCATAGACGAGGCAGAATATGCAATTCCTTCGCTCTGCGGCCAGTACTAGAATACTGACATACACCGTTAACTGGTGATAGCTGTATTGCTCGAGGCGTGTGCTAGGTGGTGATTATCAGGCTAGCTTCTTAGAACGAGAGATAGCGCGGATTAGTTTATGTTTGTTTGGGCACGTACCATGTATGCTTGATCACCGCTTCCTCAGGAGGGCCTTGTTTTTATTGACTGATGCAGGGTGTCGTAAAATTCGAGGTGGGCAAACGTTAACTACTCAGCAGGGAATTATGGCACTAACTACAAAACCGGGGATCGTTAGTCCTTCTCGCCTTCCAGGATGGAATTCATGTGACCAGATTGTGCTTGGGTCGAGACGTTACAAGATATTGCCAGGCCGACATCGGTGGTGCGTTCGTTTACGTGTCCTGATCAAATCGTTTATTTTGTGTTTGCTGCTTGATAATCTGTTGCATAATGGATGGTTCTAATGCAGCACAGTGGAAGACGCAAGGAAACTGTCGTGCTGAGACCGCATTATCTATGCACGATATCTAGAAATTTTTGACCGTATCTCGTTGACAAGGTGTAGGCGCCTTGCTCCCGGATGTTTGCTTAGGGCACTTAGGTACATAAAATGATATAAGTTGTTTTACTTTCGCCATTCCTTAAATTACCACAGGCAGCACCCAGTGCATCCCAAAAGGAGCTGTATTCAAAGAATTTTCAAAAGAGCGGGAACCCACTGCAGTACAACTGCATTGTGAGGGTTAGAAGAAAACCATCTATACCGAGTATTTCAAGACAACGGTTATCGGAGAAAATTCCCCAGAAAAGCTATGGAAACGAACGCTTCATCAACACCAGCAGCCACGTGAGCAGGCAAACAAACGAATAGTGCTCCCGTACATCAAGAACATTTATACACTTACAGGGAGGTTGCAACAGTCACACGGAATTTCATTGGCCCAATAACCAAGCGCCACCTTAAGGAAGCGGATTTCCAAGCCTAAAGAAAAGGTTGATCAAAGCAACCAAAACAACCTTATCTACCAGATAAAAGGCAGCGAACGTGACAACTAGGTTGGACCGACCGGAAGGAAGCTACGTACGCAAATCACCGACGACAAAGCCGTCATATGAAGACATGATCCCAAATCACTAGTTTCCACAAATGAAGATCAAGAAGACCACCAGTTCGCTCTGGAAAATGTGAAGATTCTGGCGCATAGGAGTACAAAGCATTCAAGGGAATTTCCGGAAGCATGGCACTGCACAGCTAATTCGATTAACCGACACAGTGAACTGGACCCAGCATACGCCAAACTACGATCATGGGAGCACCAGCCCAATCTATTAAATCCGGTGGTTAGAAAACCAGACAAACAGGGCGGGCGACATAATTGAACATTGTAGTAACCAAGTCAACTTCACCATGCAGAAGTCGGAGAGGTCAAGTTCAAAGGTCAACTACCAGTTCAACAAGCTGAACACGGATAGATGTTCCAGCCAATAGGATTAGTCACCGCGACCAAACACGGGAAAAATAGAAAAGCGCTCGCGCACTATAGCCAGCGCACTCTCATCGAGGCTTCACTGTGCTACGCTACTGGTTACACGCTACTCAACAACGCATAGGTGATGTAACCTAGATCGGTGCAACAAACTAGCGAAGCTCAGCGGATAGTACGTCTGCCACCAGAACAACCTCAGCTATCAATTTTTGCTTTTATTCCTACGGCAAGGAAGCATCTGTTCAAATTAATGCTGTTGATGCTGATGACTTCGCTGGTGAATAGCGCTTTTCTCACTTGACTGCACGTGCTTTCGCAGTCAGGTGTTTCAGTGTGTACCCCATGTTAGAACATAAAGTCAGTCACCTACAAGTACCAACCGCTAAATATAGATATCTGCTTTTATGGATGCACCAAAGAAATATGATTAGTTTGGTTTATCTAGACGGTTTAGTTGCTAGGCAGTATCATTAAAATGGTGGAGATCGGTTAATCTCTCTCCCCAAACTGTCCATACTTCATGCACCCGTAACAGCGAATAAGGAAGTTAATGCGGTCGGCAAGCCAGTTACTATCACCCGCACACCTAAACTATTGAGGGTGAGGTTGACTCAGTATTCCTACTGGTTAACGTTGCCGATAATAAAACACCGACACTCACTGCAAGTATTGTCTGTTCATACACGGAAAGAGTGGATGGTATTGACTGCGGCATCAAATCACTGATTTCTGTACTCGGTGTTGGATTGATTCCATACGCCTGCTTTCCGATACCCTTAGCTCCTTCGTTCCAGTTGGCATCTGGTATGGCACTGCTGACGGTCTTCCAACCAGCCCTGTATTTGGTATTCTGGGAACTTGGTGCCATAAGAGTTTGGTGTTGGGAAGCTACCTTCAAGCTCTGAAATAGAAATGGGGTGACTGTTGGGTAAGCATGCAGCAAAAGGTGTACGAACAAACAATGTCGACTGAAAATAAGTACAAACGAACGTGTTTTCGGTAATTTATTTTTAGATTTATTCGGTTGTCTATGAGTCAAGCATTCTAGATAGACTTAAGAAATTCGTTTTCCGGGATATCTAGTTCCTGAACACTGATAAACGTCGTCTGTGAAGCCACAACTGCAATCAATGGCAACTCAATGGCTACCGACGTTGTGTCCGAAGGCATCCCTAATGTCTAAATAGATCTTTGTGTGAAGCACAGTAGATTGGTGATGCTGAACGGTGGTGAAGTTAGTGGCTGCTGATTTTTGCCTACTTCCTAGCTCTGGTAAATCGTTAGACACTTGGTGGATCAGCGCAAAACTAACGGTGTGCTAGTGCGGCTTGTGTCGGACGGGTGTAAGGCTACCAAAGAGTTAACCACTTTCCTGTCTCCAGTCTCAGGTCACTCTGTATCATGTTCCCATACTCTATCGGATGGGAAACTCTACTTTTTGGAACATATATACCAGAATCACAGATTTAAGTCAGCTCTCATCTTAGTAAAGCTACTTTAATACGTACCTATTGAAAATATTATTCAGATGAGCACCTTATATGACATTATGAAGTCCATCTGAGAGCACTGCGGCGGAAGCATTAAGCATATTCTTCTTCAGTTCCATCTTAAAATCAGTTCTGCACTGCTGAAATACCAGCACAATCAACTGGTTTCGTATGATCATAAAATTATCCCTTATGGTGCCCGGTATCTCCGTTACCCTCTGGCAAGCTTACGCCTTCTGAGTTGCACCGAAGCATAACAGAGGCAACAGGATTTACATGACGAACTCTTGCTGTAGGAGTTTGCCATTGGTCAGAATGTATGTGACCCTATAGCAGATGTCGTAAACAGAATGGCAAAGTGAGAATATCGATTTCAAGTCGAATTAGCGATGGTCGATATTCTTCGGTGTATTTGCTCCTCCCCTTTCGCTGCACAACTTCAGTTTTATGTCCAGCCACGAACAGAGAAGTATTTTGGCCATAGCATACAAACACCCAGGTTGTAAGAAATTGTTTTCGAACTTAAATCTCACCTTTAATCCCGAAGGAACTTCCTGCGTTGACTCCGGGTCAGCGCTATCGGTGAAGCACTGTAATCGATAATCACTCGGTTCGTCTTCTCCTACCTCTATCTGTCTCCGTCCTTCTTCTTGTATCGGTCGTTCTCCTGAGTCGACAGGGGTGACTGTGACTCCCGGCATGACGATCTCTTCGTCCGCTTCTTGACTCACCTTGCCTGGACTGGCTGGCGGCGTGTCCTTCTCAACGATCGTGTTAAAGTCCCCGCTCACAGTGCTCACTCCTGTTGTGAAATAAAGAAAATGTGAAAATGTCGCCATCGGTTTACTCCATCCTTCGATTAGAGAGTTTGTACATGTAGTGCCTGACCTGAACGGTTGCAGAACAAAGCAATCCTTGGGTTCATTCACTCCGGACCGTTGTAAGAAATTACACAATTTAGGCTTTGCTTCCTCTACCTCGACATTGTGTAATAATGGTTTGTTTTACTCAGATGTATTGTAGAGAGCAGAGATGTACGAATTCACGAGGGTTGTATGCAAATTCCGCAAAGGCCCATTTCTAACATATTTACCGATAACGATCCACATGATGTCATTTGAAAACAAAAGGGGCTGAAAACACTGTTCGTGTTCGAAGAGAAAAAGCTGAGGAAGTAGATTGCATGAGGTCATCAGTTCGTCATCATCATCATCATCATTATACATGTCAGCTAGAGATAGTAAAACACCTCTGCGATTGTACCGCAATACATAAAGGAAATACATACATACATACAATACATAAAGGAAAAATAAATACGACAGTTGAATGCCAGCTGAGCTACCAGCAACGGATACGTATCGTTCCGGTAAGCTACTAGCCGGCTACTAGGCAAAAACAAAAATTTAATTACGTTTTACCCTACGAAATAAGATCGTAGATGGAGGGGGAGGCTAAAGGGATGTGGAGGGACAAAGAAACTCACAGCAGGAATGCCACTGAGGTCGGCTCCTTGCCATATCAGCAAGTGTATCCAGCCAAACGTGTTCATCGACTTTCGGACCCCAACCAGGGAGCCGTGAAGCTCCAACTGAGGCCAGCTCAGAAGTGAGGGCCTTCATTTCTCTCGACTAAGTCATCGCTTGGCCACCTCTCCTCTTCTTCCACCCACATCCCCGGTGAGCAAACAACGCACGTCGAGGGAGTCGGTGGGCTGGCATGCGCAACACGTGGCCCAGCCATCGGAGCCTGGTGAGTGAAATGACGGTGCTGAGCGGTTCATTCCCTTTTCCTAGGCCGTAAACAAGGCGTCGAACACGCTCGTTACTCACGCGGTGTTCCCACCAGATGTGAGCCAAACTGCGAAGGCACCGATGGTCGAACGTAACTAGCCTCTTCATGTCCGCCGATCTTAGGGGCCAGGTTTCGCAACCGTACAGTAAGGTCGAACGTACCGCTGCATTGTACACTCTACCCTTCAGGGCGAGAGTAATGTCGCGCCGTCGCCATAGGTGGCGAAGGTTAGCAACAGCACTTCGAGCTTTCGCTATGCGGTTCGTGATCTCGTCTTCGATCCCAAGGGCGCTGATACAACTTCCCAGGTAATTGAATTTCTGAACGACTTCTAGCTGATCCCCACCAAGGGTCAGCACAGGGGGCGAACCCTGCCAATCCTGGAGGAACGCTTTGCACTTCGGTGATGCAAAGCAAAGCCCGAAGCGACTGACAGCCAGTGCTAATCTGTCCAGCGCGGCTTGACACGTCTCGGAGCTGTCACAGATGAGGGCAATGTCGTCTGCATACTCCAAGTCAAGAAGTCGTTCTCCTGGGAGTAGCTCCACACCTTCCAAGTCATGTCCTGTAAATGCAATCTCCATGACTTCGTCAATTGCGAAGTTGAATAGGAAAGGTGACAGCGGGCATCCTTGTCTCACACCGCTGGAGATATTGAAGGGTGGCGACAGCCTGCTGTAAGCCCTTACTCTGCCCGTGCTACGCGCATATAATGCTTGGACAATATTTACATATTTCTCGGGCACACCATTCCTGAGTAGACAATTCCAAAGGGCACATCGATCAACCGAATCGAAGGCACCTTTGATGTCGAGGAACACGACTACGGTGGGCCGCCAATATGTGTGACGGTGCTCCAACAACTGACGCAAGGTGAAGATGTGGTCGATGCAGCCACGACCCCGACGAAACCCGGCTTGCTCCTCACGAATCTGGCTTTCACGAGCACCAGTCAGTCTGTGGAGAATTATGGACGCGAGTAATTTGGAGGCGATGGACGTCAGACTGATTCCTCTATGGTTGCCGCATTCCGAGCGCGAGCCGCCTTTGAAGATGGGAACAATAACGGAGCGGCTCCAGTCGGTTGGGACAGTTTCCTGCTCCCACAGTTTCACTAGTAATTCATACAAAGCATCAACAAGAGCAGAGCCTCCAAATTTGAAGAGGGCTGGAGGTAGATCATCTGGTCCTGCGGCTTTGTTCAACTTCAACAGTCCGATCTCACGTTCGACTTCTGAGCGAGAGGGTGGATCCAAAGGGACAGCCCACGAAGCGGGGCGATCAGTGACCGGCGAATCGGTCAGTACATTCTTCTCAATCAAGAAACATGCAACCATGCTGGGTAAAGGAACAACAGCAATGTCAATGTGATCGTAAATAGTCACGCATTTGCGCTACCAGGGTGGGCTCAAAGCCAAGGTCAGCAGTTTTTGAGTGCAAGCGGCGGTCGTTCGCGATCGATAATGATGACCCCCAGTAGCGTAAGCATGCGGGGCCGCCGATCGCGCAGTAGGATTGTGAACGATTCAACAGGATTGATTCGGTGCCCGGTGGTAAGCAACTGCTTTGTGGCTAACGAAGTAGCTCGGTTCCCCGATTCAACTGATTCCGTCGCCACAGAACCCAGCCAGTTGCGTAACCATTTAGAGAGGTGGTCATTGATTCTGACACCTAGACTTCGGTCACTGCGCCCAAAGTAGCTGTCTGCACAGCCACAGGTGAATTTATATAGAAAGTGGGACATTCACTGCTTCATCATGATTGTAATAATCGAGCACATAAGCTTAGGTCTCATCGATGTGATCAGTCGAAATTCCGTCTCACTGTACGTTCTTTTGAGTGCTCCACTTATCCGTTTCTCGGTGACTTTCATAACGTGGTCACCTTTGTAACGTAGCTCAATGAAGCTTGGCTTCTTCGGATTTGTTGGCACACGAGCACAATGCATGTGTTTACCACTGGGCACCTAGTCAAGCCCGGCGAGTCGTTCACAATCGTATTGCTCGATCGGCAGCTGCACTTGCTTACGCTGCTGCTGGCCATCATTGAGGATTGCGAACGACTGCCGCTGTGGACTCAAAAACTGGTAGCGCAAATGCTTGGTTAGTTAAGACCTCTTGGACATAGTGTTTGTTCGTCCACCCATCATTGTTGCATGTCATTTGACTGCTAAGAATGCATGAAACGGCGACGTCAGCGCGCAATCTGCGTCTTCTGATTTTGCTGTCGGGAACTACAAAGGGAACTTGTTGTTTCAAAGTTTGTACTTGATCACAGTAACGACTGTAAGCATACTGACTAAAGCCGCTCCGTCATTGTCCCAATTTTCAAGGGAGGCTTCTGTTACGAATGCGGCAATCATAGAGGGATCAGTCCGATTTCGATTGCCTCTGAAGTGCTAGCGTCTGTCATTCTCCACAGACTGACTGGCACTTATGAAAGCCAGAGTCGTGAAGAGTAGGCCGGGTTTCGTTGAGGTCAGGGCTGCATCGACCACATCTTTAGTTTGCGTCAATTGTTGGAGCACCGCAATGTTTACTGACGACGCACCGTTGTCTTGTTGCTTGACATAAAAGGTGTCTTCGACTAAGTCGATCGATGTGCAGTTTGGGACTGTCTGCTGACGAAAGATGTGCCTGATAAATAAGTAAACATTATCAAAGCGCTGGATGCGCGGTGTGAGACAAGGTTGTCCGTTGTCACCTTTCCTATTTAGCTTCGTAATTGAGGAAGTCATGGAAACAGCATTCGCTGGACACGACCTAGAAGGTGTGGAGTTAATTCCTAGTGAGCGACCTCTTGACTTGGAGTATGCGGACGATATTGCAGTAATCTGTGACAGCTCCCAAACATGCCAAACAGCACTGGACCGATTAGCACTGGATATCTATCGTTTTGGACTATGCTTTGCTCCATCGCATTGCAAAGTCCTTCTCCAAGATTAGCAAAAACCCACCTCTGCGTAAACTCTTTGCGGTGATCAGCTAGAAGTCGTTCAAGAATTCAAGTACCTGGGTAGCTATATTAGCGCCCGTTGGATCGAAGAAGTGGTTACGAACCGCATAGCAAAAGCTCGAGGTGCTTTTGCCAATCTCCGCCATCTGTGGCGCAGACGCGACATTAATGTCGCCCTGAAGGGCTGAGTTTATACGTTCAACACTCCCATATGGCTGTGAAACCTGGCCCATCACGTCAACAGACATAAAGAGGCTTGTCACATTCGATCATCACTGCCTTCGCAGCTTAGTTCATGTCTGGTAGCAGCACCGCATGAGCAAAGAGCGTGTTCGGCCTCGCGTATTTGGTGCAGGAAGAGTGATTGAACCACTGAGCACCGTTGTATCACGCAGCAGGCTCCGATGGCTGGGCCACGTGTTGAGCATGCCAGCACAAGGACTCCCGTGGCGTGCATCGTTTACGCACCGGGGGTGCGGCTGGAAGAGGAGGGAAGGCCAAACGATGACTTGGTCGAGAGGAATGAAAACCCTCACTTCGAAACTGGCGTTGGTTGGTGCATCCCGACTGCCTCGCTGGGGTCCTAAGGACAATGAACACGTTTGCTTGGACAGGCTTGATGACATGGCGAAGAACAGGCCCCAATGACGTTTGTGTTGTGAGTATCTTTCTCCAACACCTTCCCTTTGGGTTCCCTTTACAATCCCGAAATCACACAATATGCATAATATAATATGGAACATCATATTTTTGTAGTAAGTTGTGTAATATGCAGTGTAAAGTTTAAGCGCTTATCTTGAGTATTGCATCATATTATCAGTGTGTTTATCACCATAAGCTAACGTGTAGTGAAGAGGAGGATGTTGCTGAGGATGAGGAGCATGAGGATGAGAATGATGATGAAATGAGGACGATAATGATGACGACGATGATGATGATGATGATGCCGATGAAGATGATGATGATGAGGATGAGGAGGACGATGATGATGATGAAGATGATGGTAATGATGATGATCATGATGATGATGATGAAGATGATGATCATGACGAT